TTCCCTGCATGTAGACTGCCTGAACCTTACATGTGATCTGTCACTGAACCACACATTAGAAAAAACTTGTTTTTATCAAACACATCTCAGATACTAGGATGGATAGTCAGATAATACCAAGGGCAGATGCATGTTAATAAAACAAAGGGACAATGAACCTTTGTGCCTTACCTCTAAGTTTGGCTTCCAGAGGGCTCTTAGACAACCAGGACACAGCATTACAGTAAGACTGGAATGTTATCTGGTCTTCATCTGTACAAGGGATTTGTTCCAGCAGCTGAAACAAATAAATAAGTAGCACTAAGCAAGGCAAGTTTTTTCCTTCAAATCTATCTTGCTTTTTCACATCTACTCCCACCTCCTCTTCTTTTTTTGATCTTAACCATAGACTTCAGGGATCCTTTGCATTTACCATCTGCTTTTATAGGCCTAGCACCTCCCTGTGTTTTCTGATAATCTTTTATCAAACTGTCAGACCTCACCACCTGGCTCCTCCAAAAAGGATACTTAGGGAAAGTATCTATGATACAGAGTGCAGGCATTAGAAAGTATGTGCTTACCTCTACCTCGTGCTGCACCTGTACCTAGCCATTCCCTCATCCACACTTGTCAGGTTTTATAAGGTAATAGGACTGTGTCTGAGTGGTTCTTAAAGAGGAAATCTCTGGAAACCCTGGATGAGGTAGCTCACCACTGCTAATTAAAAAGTGGCACTTTTCCCTGTAACGCAGCTTCCCAGCATAGTGAAACTGGAGGACACTGTTCTGTAAAGAACAGAAGGTGCCAGGTTTGGGGCAAGTCATAAAAGGGAAGGTGTGATTATTCCAGGGATGCTGTTCAGAAAGGAAAGGTGTATGCACTGGGAGCTAATGAAGAGATGTTCCAGTAAGTGACTCAATGGAGCACAGAATTCGTTGCTCCTCGGTTCTGGAGGACCAATAAAAAGTTGTTGCGCATTGTGAGCTGCTCGCTGTGTGCAGCACTTTCCATGTGAAACTTCACATGGATATGTCACTAAAGACACAGTGGTACCTTTGGGAATAGCCCAGCTACACTACAGAATTACTGCAATACTTCAGAACAAACCCCAGTGAGTTTCCGAACGGATAAGGCTGTACACATTATCTGACACAGAAGAAGACAAGCAGGCAGGAAAGAATCAAGAGGGGGTGTGATGGCGTAGCTGCATGCCCTTTTCGGACCACACCACACCAGCAGCCACTGGTGACTTTTTAAAGTCCCCAACACAGATAAGAATTCCCCTCCCTTCCTTCCCCTCCATGCTCAGTAGCACGACCCTTCCCCTTCCATTCCCCCCCTCTATTTCCCACACATTACTGCCACTGTTCCCATTGCCCCCTGGTGGTCAGGGACAGCACTAGCAGCAGGCAGGTTCCCTCTCCCAGACCCCCTGAGTTTTCTCCGCCATTCCAGTGTCACAACCCAAAGTTGTGATTTGTTGTTTGTGTGTGCTTTGGCACCGCTAAATTATGTTCCCGCCAAATTGCAGCTTTTTTGCACGGTAGAGTTTTCTGCTGCAATAGGAGAACCCTTGTGCAAAAGAGTATTTCCCGCCGTTTGTAGCCTTCTTTGCATGGTGCATTTCTTTTGCATCATAGTGATGCACGGTGCAAAGGAGTTCCCGCCATTTGTATTTAGATTCGTGCCACATTATTGGCCGGTTCTAAATGTAGGCATGCGTGGCGGCTAGCTATTGGCTTGCTAGCCGTACAAAAGGCTTGGGTAGTTTCCACCCAAGTCGGAGAGAGAGGAAACCTGGAGAGATATAGAACTCGCCAGGAGGAGGAGACTTCACGCTGTGTGAAGATCTCCAAGCAATGTGGACCCTTGCGGACCCAACGCACCTTTCTTAAGCAGGCAACGGAGGTCTGTTTAGCTTCTAGCCTCTCCACGTCACCGAGCGCAATCCTAGACGTATCCCTATCCTATACACCCAATTTTCGAACCCACGGAGTCTTAACAGCTCCGGGGGACCTGGGAACCGAACAGAACCCACGGAGATTCAGCCGCTCCGTGAGGAAAGAATTGCTGAACCCGCGGAGCCTAAACCACTCCGGGGTCAAAGAACCGAGTTTGTCAGAGTCCTCCAACGAGGATTCAAACGGAGCTGTGCCTGGAAAGCTGTCCAGCCTACACCGCGACCACCTTGGGTGTAAGTAAATAATCTTTTCAATCAACCATTACGCCTCCGTAACTGATTCTAGCTCGCGCGTACCTTACCGCCCCGCGGTTTTCTCCGGCCCCGCGTGCCCGGGCTATTAGCCACAGTTCGTGTGCGCAAAGACGGGCCCAGCTCGCACATGGCAAGGATGGGATCGGGAGCCGGCCCGCACATCCAGGAGCAAGCTTTGAGACCCCAATCTGGATGAGAAGGAAGCTAGGATCAAGGGATACAGTCATCCCTGCAGTGCCAGTTGTGCTGCCACACCCCATTTTACAAAATCCTGGGTCTGCTTGTGCAAGGGGCCCTGGCTTCAAGGAGCAACTGAAATTCAAATAATTAGGGGCAATATTGGCTTATACATATTTACTTGACTATTACATTTTCCTTAATATGCTCTGTAAATTGCTGTTTCTCCGAAGTGTAGCACTTAAAAAAGATACTTGCTCTGTGTTGCTTTCACACAGCCCCTCACTGCAGAACAAAATTGTTTTTGTTTCATTGTGATGAAGTCAGGAGGAAGAAGAGAGGAAAGACCCTTTGCTTATTTGGCCTACTGGCAGAGTATGGAAGTTTATGACCTGTCAGGTGGGACTGAGGTGGGAAAGTGTTTCATCAGGTATAAAGAAAAGAGGACCATGCACTTTCAGAAATTATTTAGGGCCTGATTCTTACAGAAGTGTGAAAAGCTCTAGTAATTTAATGCATCAATCAATGTCTACACAGAATCTGTTTGTTTTCATTGAAGTCAACATGTACAGTACTTCTGCAATGGTGGATAATTCCCATTAATAACCCTGAGTAGTTAACACCTGGGAAATACTGACTATGCTTTGCAACATTCACTTAGAGACACTTTTTTGATGTACAAGGTTGCATTAATATGTAAGGAAGGTTCCATAATATAATGTCTAGCAAGTCTAATGAGAGTTTGCTATTTGTGGCTCTATCCTAAGGGAAGGGAAGCAGGATGCATCCATACTACATGAAGTTCCTGGATAGGTTGTCAGTAGCTGAGATGGAACTTGAAACTCTGGATCTAAAAGCATGAGTCCCTGCTGTTTGAGCAAATAACCACATGCCTATAGTTAAGTTTGTAAACCGGAGATTCAGATATTAGAAGGTGACAGAGCAAAACTAAGGAGGCATAGGTTATACTACATAGACTTCATTGTCTTAAATGCAGATTTTAGCATCACTAGGGGAGGAGGGAGTTGTCTGTATTACTAGTATCATCTTAAGAAATATACATGTAACCAGAGCATAGGTTGTCACTTTAAGTTCTATATTCACATCCTAAAAATACAAGCAGGAGAGAATTTTAAGTTTGCTGTTTGGCAATTTTGGGTAATAACTTCCGTAAGTGACCATGGTCAAGTGATTCTCTTAGCCTCTAATTGCTTTATATGCGGTGTGATAGAGAATGTATGCTTTGGAAAGAATCTCATTAAAGGGTTTAGAAGAAATTGTTGATACAGTGCAGGAGCCTTGCTCTTTATGCAGAGTGTACATACTAAGCATTAAGAGTATATTTCCAGTCTTGATTCCTTCCTTGCATTGCACTGGAAAGGTGACATACCTTTCCTATCACTGATCCTTGTTACACGTCATTCCTAAGATACAGTCTTTCTTATCTACCCACAGAGTTAAAACTTTCATCCAGGCTTTTGTCATCTTTGGTCTCAGTTACTGAAACATCCTATTCTCTGGCCTTGATAAATCACATCTTTCTCTGCTCATTTTTATCTGGATTGATGCTGCAAAGATTATCTGTTTTTTATGGTGCCCCTCTCCTTATACCCTTCCACTGGCTTCTCTTTCTGTATCCTATCAAACATGTACTAGTTTCCTTCATTTTCATGTCCATTTGTGACTCCCTCTCTATCCTCTTTCATTCAGTATTAAATGATGCCCATGATGCCACCAGTTACATTTTCAAACCAGCTCCTTGGTGGTCTTTCCCATACTGCCTATCAGCTTTGGGAGGAGTGCCTCATAAACATCCCTCCTTTGTGGAAATGTGACAAGGGTTCCTGGGTGCTGCAATAATGCAAAACAGTAAGTAACAATAAAAGTTCAAGTGCCTCACTGAAGGAAGGAGGTGGGGCAGAGAGAGGACTTACTATGGATGCTGACAGACATGTAGCTCCTGGTTCTAACTCATGGTGCTTCACAGAAAGGACCATGAGTTAGATCAACTCTTACGATCCAACAGACATTCACTGCTGGATCAGAAGGGTGGGTGATGAATCCCCACTTTGGAGCTAACCTTGGGGAGAGAGGCTGAACATCTGCAGCATCTGTCCCCTGGCCCCACCCCCCTCTCCAAGCTCGCATGCTCTCTCAGGATGGGAGGGGAGCAGGGCAAGGTAGGGAGGTCCATTCTGGGGTTTCCCCAGCCACCTTGGGGGGGCTCCAATCCACCTGCCCTACCCTCTAGCACTGAACTCACTCCCCTCCCTTCTCCCCCTCCCATTCTGAAGACAGTGCCTGGAGCAGAGCTGAGCTGAGTCAGTCCAGCCCTGCCCCTAGCACACGCTGACAGATGTTAATTGAAAGCACTCCACTTCTGTCAGTGCACAGCTGTGGAACACTTTCAGTGGCCAGTCATCTGACAAACCATCACGTCTGTCAGCACCCTATGATACTGTGAGATGCCATCCTCTTTTCTCATTTGAATACTTTGAACTCTGGATAGAATACCCCCTTGACACTGAGAAATTGTTTCTTGTTTTGCTCCTTGTATTATGGCTGCCTATAAATGTGCTCAGGGATGTGGAGGGAGGCGTTTTAATTAAAGCGGTTCCCAGATGGCTGCTCTAATTAAAATGGCTCCTAATACATCTCATATATATAATACATCACATGTATTAAGCCCCCGCACACTTAAAAATGGCCAGAGGGTGCTTTATCTAAACCTCATTCAATGAGGTTTAGATAAAGCACCCTAAAGCCATTTCAAAATATGTGGGGCTTAATACACGTGATGTTGCAGTGATGCTGGAGCATTCTAACTAGGACACAGAGCAAACTCGATTCGATTCGATCAGAATGCCAACAAGCACGTGTATAGGCAGCCCATGATTCCAACTCCA